ATATGAACTTTTAAGAAAACATTAAGACTAAATTTAATATCAAGAATTTTAAGACATTGCGTTTTAGAGAATATTATATGGAATCGTTTAAAAAAAATTCGAAGTGAAAAAATCATCATTTTAAGTGATGTGGTAGGTAAGCACTATAAAATATAGATGGGGAAGCAGATAATAAGATAACATGAAATTCATTATTTTATCTGTAAATATTAATAAATTATTTGTAAAATCTACCAATATACTTAATACCTATTAATATTATATTAATTAAGGATTTAATTAAATTCTAACATTGTCAGATTTTAAAGACTTATTCAGGATGATTTACCAAGGACGTTCATCTTCTTCTTTTTTTCTTAAATAATGGCGCTATACAAAATCTAATTTTTGGAATTTTGAACTCATACATTTGAAAACAATATTTTCAGATATTTTAATTTTTAATTTTTTAATTTTTGATGTATCTAAATCAAAAATGGTTTCCGAGTTGTTAAACTCTTAAGTATTTAGGATAATGGTCCGTGTTTTATCAAATTTCTTATCTAACCTATTTTGCAAATCTACAATATACTAATTATTGGTACTCGAGCTGTAAACACGGATCATTACTTTTTATACTTAAAATTTAATGACTAGGAAATTATTTGTTAGAATTTTGATTAAGATGTATCAAAAATAAAATATTTATTCTACAGTTAACAGAAAAAGAAGTTTTCTATTTGAAAAATAGAAGTTTGTATCGCCATAGAATCATCTTTAAGTTGCATAAAATTCTAAAGTATTAAAATATAATATGATATTTAATAAAGGAGCTTAATTACATAAAGAAAATATTAATAATGCTTTATAAAATATAAATTGAATCTAAAAAAAAAATATAGTTGTAAATTATGGCAGAAATAATAGTTGGCGGGAATAAATATTTTTATTTTTCTGGCAGAAACGAAATAAATGTCTAGTTACCATGTTTATCCCTGCTATTTAAATGACGGCGTTTTCTGTGTTTATAATTGTATCAATATGGATTTTTTCTCTAGCGTATAGCGTGGAAATATTTAAAATGGAAATATTTAAAATCTGTATAAGCAATATTGGGATTTAAAATAAAAATTAATAATATTACTGTAGAAAAAAATTAAGAAATTGGTTAATAATCCTGTGGGCAGTGGTGGATTGAGACAATTGATATAAAGAGTGCATATATTAATTCCAACAACCCACTTAAATTTTAAACACTATCACTATCCGCATATTAGCATATTAGTAAAAATACAAAATAAAAATGAAAAATGAGGTATTAAATTTATATATACCATATAAAGGGTGAACTAGGGTAAATAATAAATGTAAATGGATTTGACAAAGCTTACCTAAATATAATTAATATTATATACCCACCGTTAAAATATTATGTGTTTGATGTGTATTTTGTAATGTAACTATACGTAAAAATGTCCAAATAACCTTATTCTGAAATCATATTTTATATAAAAACTATTGACAATTTTAAATTTTCATTTGCTCCATAATAATTTATAAAATTAAAAATTTAGGGGTTTAAAGGATATCTGTAGTTTGATTTACTACAGTAGAAGAAAATCTGTGGGAGAAGTAAAAAAAAAAAAATAATCAGTAGATATTTTAAAATTGATATTAAGTGCGTTTTCATATTTGTCCTATAATATAGGTTAAGATCGGGGCTACCGTAAATAATATAATACAGGTACACCATAAAAAAATTACGAAGCAAGTGAAAATAAAACAAAATAACAATGTATTAAGGAAAATAAACCTATACTTTATTATTTTTTTTAAATAAAACGGCTTATAAAATTATTCTTATAATAATATTCTCTTCAAACTATATATATTCATCGTTCATCCTTATTTTGTTAATATTCATCAAATGAAAATATATACCTATAGTACACAAATTATGGAAATAAGTATTAGCAAAAATTACCTGCATATTGTAAATTATAATTAATTTTTACCCCAAAATTTATTGTTTATTATGATATTGAATTAAAGTTTACCCTAAACAGTAGTATAAATACAATTTTCAGTCTGCATAGTGAGTAGGCAATATTTATCGCATCTCTAATAGGTAGTGAATTATTATTATACAAAAATTAATAAAATATTAAATAAGAATTAAAAATTATAGTTAAAATAAAAAAGTAATCTTCAATAATTAAAAATAATTTACAACATATAGAAAAAGTCCCAATATTGTGTTAAATGTAAATAAGTCGTTTAAATGCATTCGCTTCATAAATTTTAAATACCTACTGTATTTCAGCGTTTTTTTAAACTGAGTTATGACTATATTTGGTATAACTTATATCAAGATAATAGTATAGTATAAGGCAGCATAAAACATAAAGCATATAAAAATATATATCTACCAATACATAGTTGTAAAATAAGAGGGTCGACGTACGTTTCTCCAGCCCCCTCCCCCCATAAAACTTTTTTGGAATTTTTTTCATAAATATTTAGTATGGAATTTATATGAATTTGTACGATGAAATTCAGAATTTTTATGGATTTATTTTCAAAGAAATAACCAAAATAGTGTGAAGGTCTGTAGAAATGTTTCTACAGTCCTTCCATAAAAATACTAATTTTTTCCAAAATTTTCTCGAGTGAATATTTAATACAGAATTTGTACGAATTCGTACGACAAATCACGAAATTTTTAGAAAATCTTTTCCCGGCAAAAAATGTGTTTTCGAAATTTGGCATTTCTACAGCTGTCCCAAAAACTAAAAATCATTTTTCCAAAATTTTCTCGAGTGAATATTTAGTATGGAATTTCTACAAATTCGAATGTAGGAAGGAATTTTTCAAAAATTTCGTGATTTGTCGTACAAATGTGTATTAATTCAATACTAAATATTTATGAAAACAATTTGAAAAAAGTTTTATGGGAGGGAGGCTGGAGTACGTAGTGGGTCATCTATATTTTAACGTATTTCACAGTAAAATATATTAAATACCATGTTTAAAATTCTATTTTTTGACCTTCATGACTCATGACTTCATGAGTATCCTGTAGAAATACAATCTTCAATTTTTCAAACGAAAACCCCTTTTTGCTTCTGTAAATTATTTAGTGGACAATTTTTCTAAAAACGTTGAGTTATTTAACGTCCATGATTTGGAAGGTATTATGGAGGAGGTTGTATTGAATTAAACAATTAAGTAATTAGTATTAAAAACAAAAAATATTAATTTTATTATTCTTTATCATTATTAGTTTAAAAAATTAAAAAAGCGAGTTCTCATTTGAAAAGAATAAGTTCTGTATTTTTTTGTAGTATCAACATTTTTAAGAATTTTAAATATAGTATTTAAGTATATTTAAAAATTTCAAAAATTAAAGTTTAAATAAATGGATTTTTTGAAGGATAATTTTGATTATCATGTTTGGTGAATCACTTTACATACATAACATATAATATTATATTATAAATAACTTATGTAACGAAAATTTTTTTTTACATAATAAATTAGTTTCATACAGTTCACGAGAATTTTTTTGGAACGTATTTATAGTGTAAACAAAATAAGAATAATACAAATATTTTTATACACAGGTTTATTTTTGTTTGAATACCACGCGATTTTTATGTTATTTTATCTAAAACACTGTTATACAAAAATCTAAACTAGGTACAATATTAAATATAAACATTCTTCATAAAAACGGGGCACGTAATACATAAAATATTTATCATTTATATTTATACCTGTTTCCACCTACTGGTGCAGCAGCTGTGATATTATAGTGTTATCATTTATTATTCCTTGACTAACCCTCTTCAGAAATTTAAAGATGAATATTACAACCAGCAACTTCCTTTTAAACCGTTTTTTCACCTACGACAGTGCTTTTTGTACTAATTCTTTATTTTAAATAATAATATATGAGATAAAAATACCTTTATATAATAATATTATAAAAATAATAACCAAATTGCGTTATTGCAAAAATATAGATTATTTATACTATGCATTTTTTCAACTACACAAATAAAGTATTCATTTTATAGTGACTTAAGAGGTTTTCGCGCCTCACACCCTCCAAAATTATACTATATTGAAAATTTAAAAAGTTGTATTAAAAAATATACACGTTTTATTAAAGTAAATTATTTAAAATAAATACGAATTTACAATTAAACTATAAGTTATTCTATATTTTCATTTCATAATATGACTTATCAGTATAAATTTTAGATAAACTGAGTATTTATACCTACTATAATTAAAGTCTGTGCTTTATACATTATAATAATGAATAAGATCTATACGCGTTATCAGCGCAATTTACAAGTCTAATGAATATTTTTTGTTGCGTTATCGTAAATAAAATAGAAATAGAAAAAAAGTAAGTATGCAATATTTGTAGCTTTTAGAAATTATTGGAGAGTTTAAAATCGGTGGCTATAACCGATATTTATACATTCGAAAACAAAAATAGGCATAATCCATTATATACCTTTATAACTTAAAAATAAAACGTGTACTCACCTCGTCGGCTGTCATAAATCAACATCTTTTTTTGTAATAGACTAGTCTAAGTTATTTTAATACCTATAACAATTTTTTTTTCTAATGTATTAGTCTTATTGCTAATAAGCTTAATACAACAAAATTACTTTTGAATATTTTATGTATTTCTCATGTTCACAATGTCATATTTGTTAAGTTAACTGAACAATTTATACTTCTTACTCTACAAGTTCATTAGTAGTATTCTTCTGCACCTTATAATAAAGTTTGCTAAAAAATGTACAATAGTATTTAAGAGTTGAGTTTAAAATTCGTTCATATTATTAGATAAAAAATATAAATATAATAATTTTTAAATTTAATAATTTATTAGTTGTATTATAACTTATTATTTATTAATGACCGTTCAAATTTTAATTAACAAACATACCTAATATGTGTATAAGTTTGTGTTCTAAAAAATATTTTAACGCATGACATTGCTATTTTTTATTTACAAACTATTTGTATATATTATACAATGAGCAAATAGATCACACACGAAGACGTGTAGAAAGAGGAGTTCAGTAACATCACTTTATAAATTCGAAAACATACGTCTATAAGTGCAAACATTAGTTATGAGAATACATTTTAAATTTATAAATATAATAAATAATATTTTATATGTTTTTTAGTACACATTGACTTCCTTTAGTCCCATTGTGGCAGCTTTTCTCCAAAGTCGAAATTTTGCTAAGTCCTTTCGTGTTATGATACCGATCACCTGAAAAAAATATTTGAAATATATTTTATTTATTTTTAGTAATTCATTCAACAGTGATGAGAATATAAATAATAGTCTAATGAATTTTGTGACTAAATTTTAAATATTAAATAATAGGTAGTCGAGATTAATTATCTTCATATAAATTGTTATTGAATCTATAATATTTTGAAAAATGCTACTAAAATATTGAAGGCTACAAACTATAAATCGGCTTAATTTCGTTTTATTATAGTATAAGTATCTTCACTATGATTGAATCTTGTACAAAGCAAAAAAAAATCTCCTTCTTTGATATTTATTTTAGATTCTGAAAGGAGCGATGAATGTATTGATATTTTATTTTAAAATTATGTGTGAGTTATTTTTTGCGTATGAGTATATGATATATTATAGATAAAATGCTTCGACATTCAACTTTGAGGGTGATTTTGGATTAAATTTTTATATTAGAAAGGTCAAAATGAAAAAGGAAAACAAGAATTTTTTATGCTTAGCCAGGTTTTGACTAAATTTTAATTTCATAATTTTCTATACATGGTAAAATCTTCAAAATATTTTGACTTTTTTTGAGTTATTTATAGATAATTTAAATTTTCTTTATATAAATTTCAATAAAACGTTTGTTAATGAGTAAGAATGCTTGGAAATTCAACACAAGTATCCTGATAAATGGTTTATTTTCCAACTTTATTAAAAATTAATAATCATAATATTTTTTTATAAGCATTTAAATTCTAAATTTTGACAAAATTCGTAAAAATCTCGAAGAATACAATTTATTTTGTAATTAGTTACACATAAAAAAATATTTGTTTTTATTAAGATTTAAAAATTGAAAACAAGGATTTTTTAAAAATTTTTAACCTATGTAAAAAAAAAAATCTTCTGGAAAGCTAAATTAAATTTTTATGATCATTTAAAGTTACAGCATTGGACTTGAATAATAACTTTTTTGAAAATAAATAACTGTCGATATTTAAAATTTTTCACCAAATACTTTTATTTTCATTTTCATTATATGAAAATATTTTCAACATTTTTTAACTCATTTTGAGCTATTTTTTTTTCAAACATTGATAACAAATTATTTGCTGGGTCAAAATTCTTGAAAATTTAATTTGAGATTCTACATAAGTTGTTTTTATATCTGTATACAATTAATATTAAAAATATATACGCACAATTTTATTTTTTTATGCATTTGAAGTTAAAATTTTGACGAAACTATAAAGTTATAAAATAAAACTTTATTGATGACTTTTTGGATATACAGTATCAACTATGAGGTGCTATTAAAAATTCTAGTAAGAACTTTTCAGATTATAACTCTTTGTATGATTATAAATTACCTTTTGTATGTTTTTAGTTATATTCTTCATTTAAACTAAAAATAATTACAATAAAATAAATTGCCAAAATCCTGTATAAATGATTTCGTTTTCAATTAAAAATCACTCAAATCTACTAACATCTACTTTTTGACATTATTATTAATAATCCTCTTCGCAGACTAAAGAGAAATTAACGTTGAGAATTAAATTTCAATCGTACTAAATTATTATCCATTCTAATCAAATATTCAAATGAATGGCTGCTATTTTCATGTGTGTTCAAGTCATAATGTTTATCTGAATACATGCCTATTATAATACTTAATTACAAACTATTTTATAAATAAAGTTTAAAAAAAAGATTGAACTAGTCTGTGGATTATAGCTGATTTAAAAAAAAATTATTTTAGAAGAAAATGGCTGAAAGGAAGTCTATATTATATTTTGGAATTATACTAACAATAAAAAAATTATTAAACAATCATGGATATTTAATTTCAATAAAATTATGCTTAATCCACATTAAAAGTAAAGTAAAATGCATTATTATGTATTAATGTGTATTGTGTAGGTGTTTATACTTATTATTAGCTTCAGAACGATATTGATATATTTAACGCTAATCACAAACTGCGCTGACAATCGTTGTTCGTTAAGCTTGTAATATGTCATATTTATATATTATGTATGATAAAATACCTTACATATTTATAACACAGGATTTAGTATTCTAAAAAAAGGTTTACACTAAAAATGTTATAAGATCATTTTTTTATAGGTTTTGGTTTTGTTAACCTAAATTTTTTGTGAAATTACACTATGTTAATAAAACATTTTTATTTTAATAATAATGTTTTGTCGACTCCTAAGATGTTTTCTTGAGTGTTTGTCTATCGTTTTGTGGATATTTTCTAGATTGTTAAAAACTATTGAATGAAATATCCATAAAGTGATGGACAAACACTCAAGAAAACATTTTAGGAGTCAACAATTCATTATTAGTAAAATGAAAAATAAAAATAAAAAATGTTTTATCAACATATTGTAATTTCACAAAAAATTAGGTAAACAAAACTAAAATCTATAAAAAAATGATCTTATTACATTTTGTAGAATAAATCTTTTTTTAGAATACTAAATTCTGTGTTATAAATATGTAAAATATTTTATCATACATTCAAACGGACGTTATGTATATTTAATTAATCGAGAAAAATTAATTTCAATAAATAAATACAATATTTTAATATTATCAATTTTTCTTGAAAAATAATGGACAATTTTTAAATTTTCGCAAAATACGATAGTTTCTGAACTAAATAAAATAATAAGAAAAATACCCCTTCTGTCATATTCAACCCCAATGTGGCACCAAAAGGGGTTGATTGAGACCATCCGAATTTCGTCAAAATTACTTACTCATGTAACTGAACAAATTAAAAAGGTACTGTGTTAACTTTTCAAAAAAAAATATTCCACAAATATAAATAAGGACCACCATAATGTATATATAGATATGTAAATGTAATGTACTTATGTATGTATTATAAAATTTTAATTTACCAACTATGGCACGATTTTTAAGAAACATTGCGACATTAAAAATAATATTTCATAATTTTTTTCACAGTATATATCTAATTTAAAAAAATGAATTTAATAAATTACATAATGTACCTACTTAACGTTGTGTTTCGAGTTGACTTTTCCGTATAGAGTAAATGGCGTGTAACTCGTTATGTTTGTTAATTGTGCATACGTTTTTGTTCAAATAAGAGATATATACCATTCCAAACATTTCCAGTTAGTCGAAAAAGTTATATAAATAATATGTTATTGTCTATTTCCAATAGTTTTTAATTATTCTTTGCGTCAATTTTCTTGTTATTTGTTATAAACCGTTTTAGAAAGTCTCAACGAGTATAAAAGTGAACAAGAATTGTATCCCTTATTAAGTTTCAGTGAAGTATTTACAGAGAGGAATTTATAGATTCTTCCATTGTATTTATTTTCACTGATATAAATATAATATATAATATTGTTTTTAATATTTGTGGTTATATACATAAATAATATTATAATTTATAATATTATTTATAATTATTATAATTTATAATATTAATTATGTGTCGAATAATAGGTGTTTGGTTGTTATTTTAAGGGGATAGCTCGTGGATCCGTAGCATACAATAACATGTATACAATATTTGAATATTTAGCAACCCATTTAGTACTTCTATGCAAGGTCGTAGCTGAAGCAAATTTTCGGGGGGGGGGGGGGGGGGTAAATCAAATAATATTTTCAAAAAAAACTAACACTTATTTTAAACAAAATAAAAAATTTTAACAATATAATTGATAATCAAACATAGTTATCATATTATTTAGTACCCACATGGTCACATGGTAAATTATTATAACTAAGTTACTTAAATAAATTAAATTTATTAACTATAAAGTATTTCGAGGGGGGGAGGAGGTTTAACCCCTAAAAACCCCTCTTATATACGGCCTTGCATTTATGTTATAAACTTATAAATTATAATGCATTAAAAATTCAAAAAATATTGCAGGGTGAGGGCATAATTAATAGGTATATTATAAGTTACATCACCGACTACATAGAAAGTCCATGCTTTGATTAAATATATATTTTTGTTCGACGTTCTAAATAATTTCAATATTGCAATAAAATACAGATAACAATCAAATTAAAACACTAAAATATGAGTTATTTTATCATTTATTATTGTATTACTTTATTTTTATTTTGGCATAATTCACTACTCATTATAGTCGCAAAACCGTACTAATAGTGCACTACTCAGACACTTGTTATTAACTTATAGATAAGTTAATTTTCGACTGTTTGAAACAACGAGTACAAATAAACTTTAGTTGTGATTTTTACTTAAATTTAAAAACCATTGTTTTAGTGGTTTAATTATTATTGATTCATGTGTACATAATAAATCATAAATATTTTATACTACTAATGTTTTACATAAAAAATTTTATATTTATTTTTATAGTAAATTTTTAATTTGCTATTATTTTTTGTTTTAAAGAAAATAGTTTTATAAATATATGTGTAGTACTAATAATATCAACCCTGAATACTTTTAAAAAACAGTGGTGACGGGGATGGTAAGGTATATGTACATAAGCACGTAAATTCATTGTGGTTAATTTATCATAATGTCAACTTATCGCCACGTCAATTTATTGTAAATTAATCTACTAAATTCTACGTTTTATTTTTTCCGTGTTAATATAGACTTAGAACTGTTTACACATTTATTTTTTATGTAGTTATAGCTAAATTTTTGTCTTAAAAAATAAGTCTGTAATTATCATTTAACTAAAGTTAAAATAATTAATCGTTAAAATTATATAAATGTAAAATATTATATTTGTAATTGGAAATTGTGTACTATTTTTTGTACTATTTATCTTTATATTTTTTAAATCAAAGCAAATATTTTTTAAACGCTGTGCTTTTTTTTTAAGTATTCTTTTTTCACAAGAGGACATTCGCCAGCTATATATTATTCAAGTTTTACTTTTTTTATATTATCATCATTTTTTAAATTGGTTATGAATTTTCAAGTACTTGGATGACATTGATTTAAAACTAAAGTAAAACAATTATGTCATTCTTCTACT